TTGAGACAGAGTTTCGCTCTTGTTACCCAGGCTGGAGTGCAATGGCACGATCTCGGCTCACCACAACCTCCGCCTCCTGGGTTCAGGCAATTCTCCTGCCTCAGCCTCCTGCGTAGCTGGGATTACAGGCACGTGCGACCGTGCCCAGCTAATTTTTTGTATTATTAGTAGAGACGGGGTTTCACCATGTTGACCAGGATGGTCTCGATCTCTTGACCTCGTGATCCACCCGCCTCGGCCTCCCAAAGTGCTGGGATTATAGGCTTGAGCCACCGTGCCCAGCCTATTGAAACCTTTTATTCTTTTCCACTAACTTCTGAGGGACCTACAGGCTTGGTAATGCACTTAGGTGTTTACAGCTTTCTCTCCCACTAAAACATAATGCCCTTGAGAGCAGGCATTGAGTTTTATTTATGTTTGCATATCTAGTGGCCAGCACGGTGACATAGCATATTTTGAATAAATGTTTATTGCTTTTTTCATCTCTGATCCAGACTGGTTTTATCTTAAGAAATGTATTAGGCCAGGCAAGGTGGCTCACACTTGTAATCCCAGCACTTTGGGAGGCTAATGTGGGAAGATCATTTGAGCCTAGGAGTTTAAGACCAGCCCGGGCGACATGGAAAGATCCTATCTCTACAAAATAATTTTCTAAAAAGTTAGCTGGGTATGGTAATGTTCCACCCATATAGTCCCAGCTACTTGGGAGGCTGAGGTGAGAGGATCACTTGAGCCCAGGAGTTTGAGGCTGCAGTGAGCCATGACCATGCCATATTGTACTCCAGCCTGGGCAACAGAGCAAGACCCTGAGGAAAGGAAAGGGGAAAGGAAAGAGAGAGGTATAAAGGAGAGAGGAAGGAAGGAAGGAAGGAAGGAAGGAAGGAAGGAAGGAAGGAAGGAAGGAAGGAAAAGAAAAGAAAAAAGAGAGAAAGAATTGATGAAAGGAAGGAACTAAGAAATATATTTAGAATTCAAGAGAAAAATGGGCCTGGAAGAGCTGTACAACCAACCACAGGAATGCCAGGTGTTGATGGCACAAAGATTTGGGCCCTGTCCCCTTGAGAAGGATGTACCTGGATGCAGCATGTCTAAAGGACTGTGGTGAAGAACATGAATGATGAGGAACTTCAGGGGACATTTTGATGGCATGGGGGAAAGAAGTTGAACTACAAACTACAGGACTGAAAGAAACCAGGCTCACAATTGATGTATAATAGGGATCGCTCCTTTCTGAAACTAAAATAGTCACATCCTATATCCCCTATATTCTTTCTTGTATCAACATACATGGAGAGTTGAGTAATTAAGTGGTTATGTACATATGTACATAAAATCAAAGAGCAGAGAAGTGAAAAGGCAGGTGTATATTTGCATGTATATGTGTGTGTTTATCTGTGTATTTGTGAGATATTATCCCCTTCTTAAGCTTTTTACCATGGAGATTTTCAAACATCCAGTAAGAGTTAATAGTATACTAAACTCCCATGCATCCATCATTCATCTCTAACATTTTCCAAGTTTATTTTTTTCCATTCTCCTACTTCTAGTTTTAGTTATGGTATTTAAAGACAAATCCAAGCTCTTGTGCCATATATCACTAATAGTTATTGCAGTATGTACCATTAACAGATACAACATCTTTTTTTTAATGTAGCCACAATACCCTTATGTATTTCTAGCTCAGACCCAGCTGATAAAGCTTACAGGCGATGGAAATACAGTAGCAGGTAGAACCCTTAGCATCTAGATTATGGGCAGCAGAGTGACATTCTAGCTCAAAATAAATAACTAAACAAATAAATAAAAGTCATGTTTGTAATGGTACGAAACTCATTGGTCACTAACTCATTCTGAAAATTGATAAATAAAAGGGAAACATTGATCACAAACCTCTCTTTCACATACAAACGATTTCACAAACTATTTCATGGTAACCAAATGTTTGATGAAGGGATGATTTTCTTTGTAGAAAAATACCAGTTAATCAATGCAAAAGAAATGGGAGAATTATAAAATAACCATTTTAACCTGTAATAAAATAGTGAATCTAGGTGACAGTCATCAACGGTTGTGAAAATGTTTAGATAAAAGATTAGTGAGGAACTTCAGAATGGATGGATCTAGCTGACAATGCCTTAACTAAGCCCATTCATCAACCTTTACGTCACTCAACAGGGGACAATCAGACCTTAGATGACTAACCGTGAAATATTCTTGGTAAAGAACTGAACTTGAATCTTAGGCCAGTTTTCAGAAAATATTGGGTATAGAGCAACATGGTAAATGACACTGTGGGGGTGAAATAAGCTAAATCTAGAATGCAGGAAATGCTGCAGATAAAAGGATCCAATCAGCCCCATAATAAACCACATAGTCAAAGGGGGAACTCTGATATATTGAGGCTTAAAAGGCTTATAAGTCAAATGGCATGTGAGCATCTCTTTTAGGACTATGATTACGACAAACTAACTGTAAAAAGCATTTGTAAGATTATTAGAACATTTGGACACAGGGCAGAGTTTTGAGGCATTTTTTAGGGTAGTTCTGGGACATGTAAATATCTAGTGAATCAGGTGTGTGATCCACGCTGATGTCCCAAAGTCCAGTAGCACAGAGTGGTGAGCAAGTTACCAACACATTCTTTTCATCTGTCCCCTTTTCCTTGGATCTATGAAGTCCATTTTCTGCTAGGAAGTCTTTATTAGTTTTCAGCTTTCTTAGATGCGATCATATCCCTGTCATCCCTTCCTAGAAAGATTAGATTTGGGTCTTTCTGTAAAGTTGCAGCCGCACATTTGCTAGGAGTCTCTTAGATTACTTCTACACAAGCCGAAATACATTGATTACAGATGATTACTCAAGTCTTAGTCCCAAGAAAGTCATTTTATTTTCTGAGTATGAGGATTAACTACTTTCCCTGTCTACTATTAGCTCTTGTTTTTGTAGAGTTTGTTTAAAAAAAAAAAAAAAAACAGAAACAAAGCTGCTTTGGTGAAGCCTTTTAGAAGCTGATAAAAGTCAGTTTCCCAACTCTGAGCAGTCTGTTGACTCCTAGTTGGAAATGGAAGTATGAGGATGGGCTTAAGAGGCTTTGATGTACCCAGGAAGAGAGACTTAACATACGTCAGCATGCAAAGGTGGAGAAAGAGAAAAACACACGTGGGTGTGTGACCTGTGTATCTGTATATGTGCAATTACATGTATATGTGCAATTATAGATGTGTCTGATGTAGAGACACAGACCCTTCAAATAAAATCTCCAACGAATCAGGCTCCAGCACGTTTTCTAGAAGCTTGTAATTTTAAACGTTTCACAGGCTGACATTTTCTAATAAAAATCATTCTACCAAATCCCTCTCCAAATGGGGAGTTTATAAAATCTCCTTGATGAAACATGTAATCATACATTAATGAATCTTCCGTTTAAAAGGACTGAATTAGATTACATAGCAATGGTCTTAAAAAAAAAGAAGAAAAAAAGAGAAAAGCCCATTCTAAGCAAGATACACATTTCTTTGCCTGAAATGAGAGTGTCAAAGAATCTCTATGAATTGACAGAGCACTGTGTTATTACACCTACAGGTACTGCTGCATTCTCTGACATCTTATTGAAGACAATGTGCATGTTTGCCTTGAGCCAATTAGAGATGTTGTTGATACAGGGAAAGCACTGGAGTTTTGTTTTGTTTTCCATGCCCTTATTCAGCCACAGTGATCATTCAGCCAGCTAATTTGCTTCTCCTCTTTCATTTGATCTAATAAAATGTATGAGAAAGTGTTACAGGCACTTAGCCAGGTGTTGCAGGGGAATATAAATAACCAGACTATCACATAAGGTCATCTAAGGTCATGGTTTAGTTACCTCATAACCCTAGCACCGAGGACAATCCCTGACACAGAGGAAGAGCTCAGGAACTACTGCTAAAAAGATCTGAGGCGAATGTACTCAAGTTCATGACTTTATACTCTTGTATGTGTGAAAGATGCACTCCAATGTACAGAACTACAAAATAGAATGTGCTAAGTACTCAAAGAGAGGTGGCTAAAAAGAGCCACAGACCAAGAATCTAAAAGAATCTCATGTAGGTGGGGAGATTTCAAGAATAGAGACTGTGAAGGACATTCAGGCAGAGTGAACGTGATGAACAGAAGCACTGTGGTCAGCAGGAAGGGGGAGGACGGGTTTGCTATGCAGTAAAGAGCCCAGTTTAGTTGGAGTGTCAAGCATAGGGCTGGATCATCGGGGGACGATGCAGGACATGGTAGATAGGGCTGGACCATCAGGGAGAGCTGCAGGAGGACCCATATTGTGGTACAAAGTAGGGGCTAGTGCTAGACACGAAGGTGGAGATGCTGAAGATGGACCATTAGGAAGAGGCGCAGGTGGCTGAGGCTAGGACTAGATCATCAGGAGGAGGTGCAAGAAGCTGGGATGGGGCTGGACTCAGGCAGAGGTGCAGGGAATATGAGACAGGACTGGATTCGTAGGCAGGTAGTGCTAGGGGTGGGAAATAGGGTTGGGCTATGAGGTGGAGGTGGGTGATAGAGGAATCTACATGCTCTACTACATTTGTCCCTCATTCTGTATGCTTTGGGGAACCGCCGTCAGCCACAGGCTGGGAATATATCAATGCCCTATGAGTCTCTTGAGGCCCAGGGCTGTTCTACCTGAAGCACAGTCAGCTCTGAGGGGGATGCAGATTAGGAGAAGGATGTGGGTGGCAGTAGAAAGGGGCTTGGATGAAGAGAAGAGTATTGAATTTTGCTATTGATTGTAAAGCAGAATTCACAAGGACATGGAACTGACTACTGGGCAAGTTTCAGGATATTTCTCACCTAAAAAGGGGGTTCTGCAAAGTGGAGGCTCCAAGCAGAATTGAGGTTCCTATATTTTCCTGGCTTTTGGTGAAAAGACAACTAGAAGATATTAATTTCTTTTTGTTCTGCATGAATAGAATGCCTGCCTGGGGTCTATGTCCTGGCCATGTTTTAAACAGTCCTTTTTTTTTTTCACTGTTCAAGGTTTATTGGGGGTTTTAGTTGGTGTAACACTTGGATAGTTGGTTGCACTGTTTACATGTAGATCTTTTTACATTGTATGGCAAGGTACACTACTTATATAGTTCACAAAATAAGATCCTTTGGAACAAGACATGTGATATTGGATCTATACACTGAATGCCAGGATGTGACTGACTGGGAAAAAATGTTGGACTAGGCATGTTCAGTGAAGGAGCCAGGAAGTTATATAACAAATGAACATCTCTCTGGCTCAAGGGGCAACTGCAGCATGCGCAGCACTGGCAGTGGTGCCTCAGAGTTGGCAGAACTATTTCACACTAACCAGTTTAGGACTACACAAGGTTACCACCATCCAGCATCAGAATATAGCTGTAGGACTTTACAAACCATTCCTATTTCTAACTTCTGGAATTGATGTTTGTCCCAGTCCATCTTAAAATATGACTGCTTTCATCACAGATCAGATAAAAAGGACAGCATGCACAACCTCCAGCTAAAATCCTGTTGTGGCCTAGACAGTGAAATGGTATGACATCAGAAGACTTGAAAATTGCAGCTCTTTCTGGATCCCGCAAAGTGTATCTGCACTCTTCCTCAAACGGGCCTCTTCCTCAGGAGTCAGAGTCACCTTCACAATGTCTGAGATTCCATTCTGTCCCAAAATGCAAGGAACACTAAGGAAGACATCATCCTTTATTCCATAGAGACCCTCAATCATGGTGGAAACTGGGTGCACCCGCCTAAGATTCTTCATTATAGTCTCTGCCAAATCTGCCACAGAAAGTCCAATGGCCCAGGATGTGTAGCCTTTGAGTTTGATCCCCTCGTAAGCACTCTCAACCACCCGCTTGTGAACCTCTTTCCACTGTTCCTTATCTGTATAAGTCCCTAAATCTGGGTGCAGAGTCTTCAGGGAGACACCAGCAACATTCACTCCACTCCACACAGGCACACTGGAATCTCCATGTTCCCCAAGGACCCACCCATGACAGCTTAATGGGTGAACTCCCAGCCTTTCCCCCATCAGGTAATGGAATCGGGCTGAATCCAGATTGCAACCACTTCCAATAACACAGTTTTTGGGAAAGCCACTTATCTTCCAAGGCACTTAGGTCAAGATATCCACTGGATTTGAAACAATAAGCAACTTGCAGTTCGGGCTGTATTTTACAACATTAGGAATGATGAATTTAAAGATGTTCACGTTACGCTGGACCAGATGAAGACGGCTTTCTCCCTCTTGCTGACGTGCCCCAGCCGTAATAATGACCAGCTTGGAGTTTGCAGTTACATTATAATCTTTTCCAGAGACAATCTTTGGTGTTCTAAGGATAAGGCTGCTATGTTGGAGATCCATCAGCTCTCCCTTCAATTTTTCTTCAATGACATCAACAAGAGCAAGTTCATCTGCCAAGTCCTTCATTAAGATACTGATGGCACAGGCCATACCAACAGCACCAACCCCAACAACTGTAATCTTATTCTGAAGGGTCTGTTCTTCCTTTAGAAGGTTATGAATCAGCTGATCCTTGAGAGTTGCCATTTTGGACTTGGAACCAAAAGGAACCAGGAATGCATGTCGGGCGGGCATCAGGGGCACACAGCAGTGGGATCCGGACTTGGAGGCAGCTGCTCCAGCACTCCTTAAACACTCCTTAAGTTTCCATAAACTGTTGCTACACTCTCTCTATGATCCCCTGGGAAAGACCAGGACATATGCCTTCTGCTATTTTCAGGACAGTAAGAAAGAATTTGACAACTTTCTTCTCTTTCCCCTCCCCTCACCCTTTCCCACTGCCCCTTTCTTTCTCTGCCATTCCATGTTTCTCTGCAGTATCTTCGTCTTCTTCCCCAGGTGCTATTTTGGTGAAATTGATGAAAGGGTCTTGATCCACTTGTCTTGAAAGACTGCGGACATCTCCCACCCACTCCTGGCTTCACGTGTCCTCTCCTTTTTCTCTACTGGGATTGACAACTCTAGAATATGTCTTTTCATATCAAATGCATCTTTAGAAATGCATACCATCTCATCATGAACAACAAGAAAAAAAGCTGGTTATCACTCCTTAAGGAACTTCAGAAATATGAAGGGTTAGAATGGCTGGCCTATGCAATGATCACCTGAACTTCCTTTTTTTTTTTTTGAGATGGAGTCTCACTCTGTCACCGGGCTGAAGTACAGTGGTACGATCTCAGCTCACTGCAACCTCGACTCCCTGGTTCAGGTGATTTTCCTGCTTCAGCCTACCGAGTAGCAGGATTACAGGCTCATGTCACCGAGTCCAGCTAAGGTTTGTATTTTTAGTAGAGACGGGGTTTCACCATGTTGGCCAGGATGGTCTTGATCTCCTGACCTTGTGATCTGCCCACCTCAGCCTCCCAAGTGCTAGGATTACAGGCGTGAGCCACTGCACCCGGCTTTAGCACCTGAACTTACTCCCAGCACATATGTCTATGGATTGGTGTGGAACTGTGGCAATGTTAGTCTAAAAACAGAGGGGCCTAGTCATACAGACTGTCTTATGTGTCTACCCACACACAGACGACAGGCCAGTTCCTCCCTTCCCCTTGCTTCATTCCTCTGATAATCTACTTAAATCATGTAAGAAACGAAAGGAGGAAAAACCCCAACAAATAACCTATTGATGTTTGACCATCTTGCAATGTGGTAACCATGACTTTAAAATTCTTAATGCTGATAGTGACAGTGAATTTGCCTTTTGTGAAGTGCTACTGTGTATTAGGCGTTGAGAGAGAGAGCTATGATAATGGACTGGGTTTCTCCAGCAAGAATGCTAGTGTTAAAATTCTGATTCCTCCATTCATCTGCACCTTGTCAAACATCGAATTAATTCACCTCTGGGGCAAGTCAGTTGCCCTCTCTGTACCTCATTCTCCCCTTCAATGAAGTGGGGATAATAACTGAGCTGGAAATCATTATGGTTACTAACAAAGGAATTGGTACATGCTAAGAATTTAGAAAAGAGCATGACAAATAGAAATAACTTGTATATTAGGTAATTCAGTTGTTGGAAAAACCCAATTATTTAGGCATTGTTATTTCTGGTTTGCAATGAGGCTATTAAGGTTCAAGGTTCCTTTGCCTCCTAGAAGCAGCCAGCGCAGAAGATGCAGAAGATAGACAGGTGCCTCCTGTGAAGGCTAGAGTGCTAGGATGAGGGCCTCGTGACCTGGGTTTTGGTCTTGACCTCTGAACTGAAGAGACCAGTACAAATACCCAGGCTGGAGGTCCAAAACTGAGCATTTGCCTAAGTATGCTGCAACCCCTCTCTGTTGGAGACCTGAATATTTTCCTGTCATCAGTGCCTGATGCAGCTTGTAGCCTGGTGAACCCTAGTATCTCAATTAGCTGTGTGACCCCAGATAAACCATGAAATCTCTCCAAGAGCTCTTCTCATTTCAGCTTAAAAGCTGGTGTTAAACTGGATTACTGACCTTTACATTCTGTGATTCTTTAGTCTTGTATTTACATAAGTCAGATTCAGTGCCTCCTGGTTGACTTACTGCCTACTCTCCCTAGTGGACGGTTCCCATAGAGGTCCGCCCTCAACCCTAGGACAGAAGAAACTCATGTCCAGTTCTCCCTGACCTCCCTATTTTTACCTCTACCTCTCGATCTCATCTCTGTCTCTCTCATCTCTACTTTTATATTTCTGTATCTTTATCTCCTACATCTCTCACTTTCCCCCTGTCTATTCTTTTTCTGTTTCCCTAGTTCTTTCTCTTCATTCTTCCTGTATCTCTATGTCTCCCTCTCTTCTTTATATCTATATCTCTGTCTCTCCATAGCTCTCTCTGTATCTCTATTCTTTCATCTCTCTCTCCTCTCTCTCTCTCTTTCTCTCTCTGTCATCACTACAGGTTCCAAACTATTAGCTAAGCTTAAAGCTTAGCAAACACAACAGGCAACTGAGGGGAGGGAGAGAGGAGGATTAAAAAGCGTTTTGCAAAATGGCATGATGGCCCGTAACCCGTAAGGTACCACGTATTTCCTTCAAAAGCTTTGATTCAGTGCAACAGCAGTGAGAAACAGAAAGCTAGTTTAGCACCTACAGGCCACTTGATTTCCTAGCATATGATCCTGCTGGAAACCCTTCCCATCTATTGTTGGTATTTCTTTTCTGTCACCAAAGCACAGAGTCTCTTCTCAGCAAGGCAACTTGCATAGCATTTTATTTGCAGAGGGAAGTTGGGCATCCTGCAGAGCATCCTTAACTGTTGTGAACATAAATGGTACATTTTGAATATGACTTCTCAATTACCCCAAATCAGCCTGCAAAGACATGGCATGTGTGTGGGAGGAAAGAATATTGAGTGGGTGGAGGCTTGTAGGTACCAATTCTTTCTGACATTAAAAAAAAATAGCAGTCCTAGGGTACGGGGGGGGGAATTCTTGAAACTTTTCCATTCTTTTTTTGGGGGCGGGGAGGAAAACTGATGGGAGAATTTCAGAGTTGCATGGAGTCAGTCCTCTACCAGGGATGTGGGGGTGGAAGGGTGGGGAGAGAGGAAGAGGTTAAAGTAGCCCATAAGTGAAGTTAAAAATGCAATCCTAATATTTTTCTGACTCTTTTCCTTTACCGGGAAAAGCTCAGGTCCTATAATATGTGCAATCTGCTTGCTTGACATACTGTAATTTGTTCTAGATGAGAGGAAGTGAAAGTCTTTCAGTCTGTAACCACGAACACCTCCATCAGCTTGAATTACTTAGGCACAGGGAAAGAATAAATTCTGGCATTATTGTCATTATGCTTCTTCCCCAAAACTGTTGCTTGGGCTGAAATTTGCTGAGTACCATGCCTATCCCCAGACGACAGAAAACATAACTGAAAGAGTTGTAAATCTCCCTCTAGAATCACTCTCTCAAGCAGGAAGCGAGTATCTCTGAGGCTCCCTCAGCTGTTCCTCTTGGAGGTGGGTGCCTTTCTTAGGGTGGGGAGGGAGGAGGGAAAGGACAAAAAGCAAAGGATGGAACCTAGGGCCAAAACGGTGCTCTCCCATCATTGAACCATCTGCATTCCCTAGGGGAATGGAATCATTAGGTTTTATAGGTGGAGGAAAACATACCACACATTCTATTCCTTATGTCAGAAACAAATCCCCCAAATCCAACAAGATCAAGGACATTTGTGGGAACAATGTAGGAGGCTGTCAAGAAGCGGGACTGTCCTGGAACATCAAGAAGTTCAAAGCTATCATTTTACAGCTTTGTAAACTAGTATATTTGAATAGTTCTAATAAGCAGAGGACAAGCTTTCACAATGGTGAAGCTTTGTTACAGCTTCAGACTACTGAGCACGTTGCTGTCTATAGGAATAGTGTACAAAGGTACCCATTAAAGGGAGTGAAAAGACCAGAGCTTGGGGAGGAGGGACCATCTACACACACATGGGATTACTGGGTAGAATGATAGTTCTATGTATTTTTAGTTCTTTGAGAAAACTCTAAACTGCTTTCCACAGAGGCTGAACTAATTTGCATTCCCACCAACATATAAGTCTTCCATTTTCTCTACAACCTTGCCAACAGCTGATATTTTTGACTTTTTCGTAATAGCCATTCTGACTGGTGTAACATACTACTACCCCATTGTAGTTTCGGCTTGCATCCCTCTGATGCAAGTCAAAACGTTGAGCATTTTTTCATATGTTTCTTAGCCTCTTGTATGTCTTTTGAGAAGTGTTTGTTCCCATCCCCTGCCCACGTTTTAATGGGCTTGTTTTTTTCTTGTTGATTAGTTTACATTCCTTATAGATTCTGGGTATCAGACCTTTGTTGGATTCATAGTTTGCAAATATTTTCTCCCATTCTGTAGGTTGTCTGTTTACTCTGTTGAGTTTGTTTCACTGTGCAGAAACTGAGCAAAATGTTTTAAAAATTAGGTATTCAGGAAGTCCCTGGACAAAAATTCACCCATCTTACAGCGATATTTCGTTACCTACACAACAAAGCAGTCTACCCAGATTTGATAGAAAGGAGGGAAAATGCTACCAAGGTACAAACATCCTCTGAGACAAGTTGTTCAACCAAAAATACAACCTATTAGCCTGGCCTACTACCCTACATCTGAGGGAATGAAATAAAAAAGAAACATACACATTTCCATGACAAAGCTTTAAGCAGATTTTAGAGAAACCTTGTGCTTTGCAGCTCTTTGGAGAAATGGGTACTTTAGGCATTTATTGTTCCATTTTAAATTAATTGATTAAAGTAGTACATTATTGCTTTCCCTTAAAAGCATTTCCACCATCTCAGAATAAAAAATTCAACTTCCTAATATATTGAAGGCTTTTCATGGCATAACTCTTAGTTATGTTTTGGTTCCCACTATAGCCTTATATACACACATAACCCAGTCACCAGGGGTTGTCAATGCATGTTGTTCCACCTATATGTATTGACAACTCCTATACATCTTTGTTCCTGCTGTTATCACAGTCAGGAATATTCATGTCCTAGACACGAATTCATTCATGCCCTAAATATGATGTCTATCTACTGACATCATATTAATTTTGTAAAGTCTCTTGTAAGTACCTTCTCATCCATGAAGCCCTCAGATATGGTTTGGCTGTGTCCCCACCCAAATCTCATCTTGAATGCTATACAGTTCCCATAATCCCTACGTGTCATGGGAGGGGCCAGGTAGTGATAATTGAATCATGGGGGCAGTTTCACATCCTGTTCTCATGATAGTGAGTTAGCTTTCACAAGGTCTGATGGTTTTATAAGCAGCTTCCCCCTTCACTGGCTATTCATTCTCCCTCCTGCCACCCTGTGAAGAGGTGCCTTCCACCATGATTGTAAGTTTCCTGAGGCTTTCCCAGCAATGACGAACCGTGAATCAATCAAACCTCTTGCCTTTATAATTTACCCAGCCTCAGGTATGTTCTTTTTAGCCGTGTGAGAACGGACTAATACACCCTCTCTGCTCCTTTCATTCTGAATAAATCCTCCTTCATTTTCCCTCTCTTAGCACATTATTTGAATCCTGACTTTGCATTTTAAAAAATTGTCTTGACTCATGACATGACATGCCAACCAGAGTTAACAAATAGATATTATCTCCTGTGCCAAATCTGATCAGCTTCTTTTTGCCTGTCTAGGTGTTTTGTCAAAGATGCTGAAGCTGTGTCCATCAACAGGAACAAAAAAAAGTCTGCAAGGGACACTGGAGCAAGGTGATGGCAGCACACATGACGTAGGTCTACGATTTCTGCAAGAGAGTACAATTTTTGAGCCCAGGATTTTTTTATTCAATTTTATACATTTTGTAATGTTTGTTTCTTGACAGTAGACACTTAATATGTGCCTTTTGAATAAATTGAGTTGAAATTGGCAGTGCTGGAGATTTAGGTTAGAAGGCTGGATTATCGATGCTTCGGGTTGCAATAATATAGCAAAGGTTCCACAGCAGCGAAGTCACCTAGAGATTTTAGGATGTAAGTTACAATTTCTTCATGTAGGATGCATTACGCCCAGTGCTGACAAAGCAAGGTGATGAATTTACATACTCATCAGACCCAAGAGTCAGTGACTTCCAGAGATTGCCCTGATTTCAGCATGTTGGGATAAGGAGTTTGTATCCTAAAAGCAAGTTCTACAAGCTTTGCTATCATAAACTATCAGAGTGAGGAATGATTTTTTTTTTGTAACATCAGTGCTCTTTGAATACTTTCTGAGCAATGTTTACCTTTTTCATTTCCTACCAGCAATAATTGTATACTTTTGTGACCCACTGAGAAGAATCGACCACAGAAAGCTCTCCAGAATATTGGAAGGCTTTAGGCCATAGAACTAGAGGGCTTTTTGGGATTTTTGTATGCTGCCTAGAAATACATCAGTAAATATAAATCTAAAGAGATTTCAGAAATCATCTGGTCTGTTTTATGACAGGTGAAAGAAATGGATTCCCAGGAAAGTGAGCTGTCTTGCTCAACTCTGCCACTCTGGGCAGTGGCAGATTCAGAATCTGGTTCCTGACTTCTGCTATGCCATCCTATTCTGCATTCCTCCGTATTTCTATGTCTGGTATTATTATTTCTAAAGTTGGGTTTTTCTGATTGAGATTATGACTTTCCTTGGTAAGATTTTTGTTTTCTGTTGTTAGATGTGTTTGTTTTTACAGGATAGGGAGGAAGAAAAGGAGAAAGGATGGGTCACCCCAGCTCTGAGCCATTGCGTGGCCCTCATCAATTTACTGATACTTCAAATTGGCTTCCCAATAATTTCTCTTAGGGCCTCAATACCTCTTACAACATATTAGAACATAATAAACATGTTGTTTTTCCGCCAGGCATGGTGACTCACGCCTGTAATCCCAGCAATCTTGGAAGCTGAGGTGGGTGAATCACCTGAGGTCAGGAATTTCAGACCAGCCTGGCCAACATGGTGAAACCCCGTCTCTACCAAAAATAGAAAAGTTAGCTGGGCATATGGGTGTGCACCTGTAATCTCAGCTACTCGGGAGGCTGAGGTAGGAGAATCGCTTGAACCCAGGAGGTGAACGTTGCAGTGAGCCGAAATTGCACCACTGAACTCCAGCCTGGGTAACAGAGTGAGACTCTGTCTCAAAATAATAAATAAAATAAAAAATATATATTGTTTTTCAGTGGTAGTACCAAAAATCACAGAATACATGACAAGAGAGGAAACCATTTGGTAGAGCAACACCTAATTTTTAATATTTTTATATTTTATTATATATTTTTTGAGACAGAGTCTCACTCTGTCTTCCAGGCTGGAGTTCACTGGGATGATGCATTTACAAGCCAACACATCCAAGGACTGCTCAACACCAGAAGCTGGAAGAGGCAAGGAAGGCTCCTCCTTTAGAGCCATTAGACAGAGCAGGTCCCTGCTGACACCTTGGATTCAGACTGTGAGACAGCACATTCCTATTATTTTTAAACCACTCGGATTTGGATATTTTGTTACAGCAGCCCTGGGAAACAAACACCAAGACTGAATGAGTCTCACTCTGAGACTCAAAAGCGACTGGAGACTCAATTGGGAAAGTGATTTTCTGCTAAAGTGAGAACAAATGATGAAGGAGTGAAGTTTTCCTTCCCCAGGCAATGTCATACAGAAGGGATGGCAAAAAAATTTCATCTTGTGTGCAAAGTTGATTAACTAGCAGTGGCTCCCTGGAGCAAAAGTGAAAGACAGCTCTGCATCTGCACGTGGGCCTGATGGGCAAGAGTGCAGGCATATTGACCAGCAGTATCCGCAGTGCATGTAAATGAGGGAGGAGTTAGACCATAGGCTAGGGCAGCAGTAACCAATGTTATTCTGGTGGCTTCTTGGAAGTTGTGAAAAAGGAAGGAGATCCACTTTCTGGCATAGGGTTGGGGATAACAATAGGGAGCGGAGGGAGGCCGAGGCGGGTGGATCACCTGAGGTAGGGAATTCCAGACAAGCCTGACCAACATGGAGAAACCCTGTCTGGACGAAAACTACAAAATTATCTGGGTGTGGTGGTGAATGCCTATAATCCCAGCTACTCAGGAGGCTGAGGCAGGAGAATCATTTGATCGCGGGAGGCGGAGGTTGCTGAGAGCCAAGATCATGCTCTTGCACTCCATCCAGCCTAGGCCACGAAAGTGAAATTTTGTCATAAAAAAGTAAAAAAGAATCGGTAGTGGAGATGAAGAGGTAAAATATGACTGGGGCCAAGAGGAAAGAAAGAATTCATGACTGTTCCAAGTTTCAGTCCTTGCAGTCAAATACCAGGACATGACAGGAGAAAGGACACAGAAGACAAGAAATCCCCTAAGATCTCAAAGCCAGAGCAGGAGACAGAAGCAGGCACTAATTTTTGCAGCATGAAGTCACCCAGGAAATCTCAGTGATCAAGCAGTCTCTGACTCACCTCACTTTGAACAGATATTGGCTTTATTTATTTTCTGGAAATTTAAACCTCCTAATGTAAGGTTTAATTAATAATTAATAGTTTAATATAATTCCTGGTGATATGAATTGTGTATTTTTGTTTTATATTTCAAATATTCCTAGGAATTCCGGGGGAAAAAGAAGAAAGACATTTCCCTCATTATTATTTCATTATCTGGGGGATGACAAAACTACTAAATGCTGGACAGATGATGGTTTATGACATCATAGTTGGTGGGACCTGAACGATGCCAGGCCTCATCAGTTCTGCAAAGCAATGAAATCATAACATCAGCAAAATCTCAAAATTTCCTAGCTCTTGCACTTCCTGCCCATATGGACTCTGTGACAGCCCCAGGCTGTCTGACCTACATGCTCACAGTCTGTCCACTACCATTACTGTGTGCTGTGTAGTCTATTTTTTCTCTTCCAATCAGACCTATCATCCATGTCTCCAAAGAATTCTGCTGAAGCTCCTTTTCACAGGGGGTTGCAGACCACTCAGCATTCTCTCATTCTCTCACATAGGGTATCTTCTCTTCCTGGCAAGTATATGCGTTCATACAAGGAAATGCCTGTAGGGTCTGGCTGACCGAATCACGGACATGGGACCTTACCACACTGAAGCCCAAGTGCTTTATTGTTAATTGTGTGGGCTCTGCTACTAAGTCTTCCAGAACTACTGGCCATGTGGCAAAGCCTTCCTAATTGGCTCATTCTTTCACACTCTCCTAGGGAGCTTCTGTCCTTGCTCTTATGTTGGGAAAACTGCAGCGCCTAACTCATGCCCCACTGGAGAATTCCTGCTGGGGAGCGGGGGCATCCATGTCACCTTTAGAGGACTTGCACTGTGAGATGAATCAGGCGCCATCTGCAAAGTCATTGGACTTCTATTTAAGAAGAACAGTGCCTGTCTATGACATTCTAGATAGAACAATCATTGATACTGGGAGTCAATCAGATTAAATGTGCTTTGAGAAACACGGGAAAAAAGTCTCATTTCCTTGGCATTTTAGTGGTTCTAATGAATGTCCTTTGATTCTCAGCCATTAACCCAAGAATTTACAGACCTTTTTAAAGAAAAGAAGAAAGAAAGATTTACTTCCTTTAAATTGAGGTAGATTTCTTTCTCAGGGGAGTTCATTTCGTGTTCTCTGGCAGCAGAAAGCCATTTGAGAAAACATTCAGAACCAGAAACCCATCCATTTTCCTCAAGTTCCCATGTCTTATTTTCAAAGTGATCAGTAAGACTGAAATGTTTATCAGGACCTAAAAGAAAAACCTATTAAATGTCATTTAAAATGAGATAATCAGACATGCTTCAAACCAATGTCTTGAGAAACCTTTTATCAAATACCCCTCCCCCACTTTTTAAGTGAAGTGCTATTAAATTTCCAAATAAAAGTCTCTACCAGTTACATTAGATTTTTAATAGAAATGAGATTGGCGCCTTGATTCAGTCTAATGGAGCCTAAAGAAGCTTGGGAAAAAAATGATAGTAGGAGAAAAGAAATATGAGCAAGCACCCTTATATATATCTGTGTTTATAGAAAATCTTGTATTTTAACACATGTATATGCACATGTATGTATATTGGTACGAGTATTTCAGAGAAAATGGACATATCTTGATCTTCCATTAGTGAGTGATTATTTCTGATGTTTAGGATAAAAATGTTAGCACACAGGTCTGATTTCCTGTGTGGGTTGTTTAGTTACTCCGTTTATAATCGTTATGTGCTATTGATCCAGCCTAAAGTTATGGATAGAGTAATGAAAATCTCAGTGCATTGCATCGAGAATAATATTTGTTGTCATGGACCATTTATTATCCTTTTCTCCTTTATCATGTTAAATTCTAGCATCGCCCAACAATCAGCTGTTGTCTCAGGAAATGCTCTTCTTCTAATCACATCGAGACAGTGGGATATATCAAAGTTCAAATAAAAGATAATATATAGGAAACAGTGAATAGTTTTAAAACCTCACTTAAATCAGCAAGATAGAAATTGTTTCAAAGAGGCAAATTTTGAGGAGTTTTGTTCCTTTAAGCCTTAGCTTTAATTTTTTAAAAATTGATTTTGGATGGAAATATCTCAAGATAGATTAGCTGTTTTCCTGCCTTTGGAAACACAGCATCTTGAATATAAAGTAGCACTTTTTAAATGGTTTATTACCATGAATCTTAATGAGGATACTGTGCCACTGAAGCACCTTGGGATGTATTCAGTCATTTTTCTCTTATACTAGAAGGCTGTAAGCTGCTGTCCTTATTGAGGATGCATGCTTCTTTTCAGAGTTTTTTGTTTTCTTTGGCCTAACAGTGTCAAGCCACTACAAATACTAATACTAATACTAAAATCAATACTAAGACCACATGTGTTGAATTTACACATAAAGTAACATTATAGATTCTCAATGAGTATTGAGAAATGCTGTGTTTAAGATTAATAAGCTTTGTGTCACATAATTTGAGTATTCAAAGACCTTTTGGGTTTGTTTCTTGGTTTTTGACTCATCTCTTTTGTCATAGATGAGACTGCTGAATCTTTGGTTTACAAACAGTGAGTGGCTATTATTTCTCCGTATCTATCTGCCTACCTACCTATCTATAGCTGTGTGTGTGTGTATATATATATATATATATGTGTGTGTGTATATATGTATATAATATGTATATGTATGTATATAATGCTGACATTAAAAATCACATCTATGAATTTGATTATACCAGGTGTGGTGGAATTACCTACAACTATGAAGACCATGCAGCAACATAAAATGCTTATGAGAGGACATTATCTTTGAAGAAAACAAAGAAAAAAAAAAAAAAGCAAGTTGCTGCTGGGCAGGGTGGCTCATGCCTATAATCCCAGCACTTCGGGAGGCTGATGCAGGCAGATCCCTTTAGCTCAGGAGTTCGAGACCAGCCTGGGCAACATGGTGAAACCCCAACTGTACAAAAAATACTAAGAAAAAGTTAGCTAGGTGTAGTGGAATGTGTCCTAGCTGTGGTCCTAGCTACTTAGGAGGCTGAGGTAGGAAGACTGCTTGAGCTTGGGAGGCAGAGGCTGCAGTGAGCTGAGACTGGACCACTGCACTCCAGTCTGGGTGGCAAAGTGAGACCCTGAGCTGAGACTGGGCCATTGCACTCCAGCCTGAGTGACAGAGTGAGCCTCCATTAAAAAAAAAAAAAAAAAGACCAGACGCGGTGGCTAAGGCCTCTAATCCCACCACTTTGGGAGGATGAAGCAGGTGGATCACCTGAGGTCAGGTGTTCAAGACCAGTCTGACCAACATGGAGAAACCTCATCTCTCTTTAAATACAAAATTAGCTGGACGTGGTAGCACATGCTTGTAATCCCAGCTACTCAGAAGGTTGAGGCAGAAGAATTGCTTGAACCTGAGGTGGAGTTTGAGGTGTACCAAGAACGTACCACTGCACTCCAGTCCAGGTGACAGAGCGAGACCCTGTTTCAAAAATAAATAAAATAAAATAAAGCAATGGGTATATAAACTGTAGTTGCAATTATCACACACTCTCTAGGGCTACCAAAAATAAGGATGAAAGAGGCATTGAGTTAAGGTGATGATGTTATACATGTATATATCTCCAAAATTTCTGTAAGATTAATATTACTTCAAAACTTAACAAGCAAATTTATGACTAAAAAGCTCAATAAAGAGCCAGATGTTCCTGGCGCACCTTATACATAAGAAATCCGATTTGGGTTTGTAAGTAACAGGGCATGCCTTGCAGCTTTGAATCCTAGAGTCACACAGTCTACCCAGTTTTGTTAGAAAACATGTGCCCACAAGATTTATTACCTAACAGTAATGATCCTTAAGATGCTAAAAGGAAATTGGGCTTATTAGAACACAAAGACCCTTTAAACTGTCAATATTTTGAAGGAAATTTGCAGTATTATCTCAATAAAAAATATCTGATATGTGTTGATACCAACTTAAAATTTTCCATTTCCAGAACAGACAAGATTACATTCTCTATATCAGCCATCAATATTTATCAATGAATGCACATGTTTATCAAGCTCTGATTATGTGCCAAGCAGTCCACTGGGCACAGTGACCAGTGACTAAATATCAACATGTGGCTAAAATTATTCTTCCAAGTGGAGAGTGGAAGTTTTCATGTTATGTGTTTGGAGCTCAGTGTGTTTGTTTGTTTTTAAAGAGATGGCTTCAGTATGGGTATCAGTTCCCTCCTCTCCACAGTTTTGCTATCTGCAATCAAATTACATTCAAACTATTCACCTTGCCAGCTTGGTTTAGGAATTGGCAGGGAAGAGACAAATACTTTCAGCAGGTGCATGAAATGTGCACCCAATTAAATTGCTTACTTTGTCAGGTGAAATGTTAAGGACAATAAAGTAGCTATTTTAAACAAAGAAGTCAAAGTTACTCTGGCAGAACCTAGGAGAATGCTGCCTTCTGGTGAGACAAATCACCTTTTGAAAGGAATAAGATAATGTATGTTGCAGGGACACATGTGCACAATTCCGTATCAGAGCCCACAAAAGAACTTAATAAAGCACAGAATTCTGGCACTCAGATGTGCATGGAGCACTCAAAAGAGATGTATTAACCTCAGTCTGTCTTCCTTTTGGAGGTATTTTCTGGTAAACAGTACACAAAACCTTATATATGATAATAATCTCAGCACATTAGACTGTCTCAGTGCTGAACAGAAATCGTAATCCCCGAGGGGAAATACCTGCCGTGCTGTGGATGCTAATGCTGCCGTCTCATGCTGCAAAGCAGCAGAAAGACTGCCCAGCATGAAGAGGGATTTTTCACAATGACATCTTTGCACTCTTCTCCTTTCTCTCTGCAAAAGAATGAGCAAGCACCTGGCAGTGGCAACTGAAATGCAAAGGAGAGAGTTGCAGAGGATTTACAAAACATCTGCTGGCCTATGCAGTGGGTCACACCTATGCATCAAGAGACCTGGTGAAGAAGAAAAGAGACCGAAATAACTGAGGGCACTTCTCCACTTTCCTTCTTGAAAATCATGCATCGATGGATAAGCAGCCCAAACACATAATCACGCTGTAAATTTTGTAAATGCCCACAGTTTTGAAACATGTCAATCCAACACTCAGATGCAGATGTGCATAAATATACATACAAACACACACGTTACATGTATACCATTATGGTCTTATGTCATTTTTTTTTCTTCAAAATCTTATACCAGGGAGAGTGGAAACATAATAGGTGGCCCTTCTGTAACCAGTTAATTTGTGGTTGTCTGTTGCTGCTCAAGTGGTGATGTTGTCATTTGTTCCCACCACTCGAGGGTGAAGCAGAGGGGACAGGTTTTCCTTTGAGGCCCACGGATTGCCTTAACAGTGGCCCAATTTCTTCCCCAAGCCACTTCCCCCTTTCTTTAGTGGTACCTTCTTCTACAATTTTTCCCTTTGACCTTTAATTCTTTCTTTCCTACCTCAAATATGTCTCAAAACATTGCAGGCTCCAGAAGGTAGATGTTCCATCTAGTATTTCTCTGTGCTTTACAGTGCAGTGTTTGCATGTAGTAATAAACTCTATCCGTTATTGAACACTTGCCTACCAAAATATGAACTCCCTAGAGCAAGGAACTGGTCTGTGTGCTTTACCTCAGTGTCTCATACGCATAGAACCTTGCCCACTACGTCATAAAAGGCACCAGGACCTGTGTGCCTTACATACATTTTCTCTGAGCCTCACAGCAGGATAGTTGCTTCTTGTTAAATTTTTTTTTTTAGGGACAGGGTCTTGCTCTGTTACTCAGGCTGGAGTTTAGTGGTATGATCGCAGCTCACTGCAGCCTCAAATTCCTGAACTCAAGGGGGTCCTCCTGCCTCAGCCTCCCAAGTAGCTGGGACTACAGGTGCTACTACACCTGGCTAACTTTATAAAAGTTTTTGTAAAGATGTGATCTTGCTGTGTTGCCCAGGCTGATCTGAAACTCCTGGCCTCAAGCGATCATCCTGCCTCAGCCTCTCAATGTGTTGGAATTACAGGTGTGAGCCTCTGTGCTTGGCCTGATTCTTGTTAAATTTTAAATATCATTTCATGTAAGAGGAATCTGGGATTCAGAGATACCAACTAATTTGCACAAGGTCACAGAGCAAGTGAGGAGAGAGGTGAAATTCACACCTGTTTCTGTTTGACTTTAAAACTTACTTTGTTTCCACTGCACTCCATTGATGCAAAGAAACAAACGACTTTTATGACCAGCTAAAACATTTTATACAAATATTAATATCGACTTGACCTGTTCTCAGTGAAGAGCAAAGGGAACTTTATTAAGTGATAGCCTACCACATGTCATACCAACTATGAAGTGAGTTACTCATACTATCTCCTTCATCTGATGTCAGTTTGTCATCTCTGAATATTCAAAGTTAACCATCTTTGAGTATCTGCAAAGCTCAAGTTGCCCATGTGGGTCTGAAATCCTTCATCTTATTCCCATTGGCACTGAAAAGAAGTTGTCAATTTATGATGCATGGTTTAACACATTATTTATGAGGAATCAATGGTTTCCAAGCAACCAGTCTGCTCACAGCTTCAAAAGAAATAGGTATTTCTAGGTAAATCAATCTTTCTATCCGTTTATCTACTTATCTGTCTATACACACACACGTGCATAACTGCTCTTTTCCTCTCTCCGGCTCTGCTCTCCCCACCTGCCACTCCAACTTTCAAGCTTCTATACCAGATTCCAGGCCTCCTCATTGTGTCTCTGTTTTTCCTTTTCTGCTGTCATAAAATTGTCACTGAAATGGTAAGCAATGAAAAGAAAGTGAACCAAAAGACTAGACGGTTCAGGCACCCGCTGTCCAAGCCTCTGGAGCTGAAGTCCTTACTGCAGCCACAGAAATAACTTCTGTTTTCATGTCTTCAAAGATCGACTCAAAGTGATTATTGCTCTTAACTAGTAAAAGTTTTAAATATTCTCTTTACTATAGGGAATTTTAATAACAGAAAAGAGTCCTAGTTCCCACATTAAGACACTTGGACCATCAAATCATCAACTCAAAGTCTTCCTACATTCCAATAACAAAAATAAACTATTAAAAAAATGTTTAATGTAGCTAGCATATAAAGGGCAGATAAGTCAAACTGTGAACCCCAAAACAATTATAATTATATGCCGGATGTCCACCTAATGGTTACATTGAAATTCTTCAAATAATCAGTAGGTACATTACATTGATGTTGATTTTGCAAGATTTAGAAAAAAAAACACCTTTAGGCCAGGTGTGGTAGCTCACATCTGTAATCCCAGCACTTCGGAAGTCCGAGGCATGGAGATTGTTTGAGACCAGGAGTTTGAGACCAGCCTTCTTGGCAAGAGAGTGAGACCCTGTCCCCAACAATAACAACAACAACAACAACATCAGCTGGGCTGATGGCATGTGCTTACAGTCCCAGCTACTTGGGAGGCTGAGGTGGGAGGAGCACCTGGACCCAGGAGCCAGAGGCTGTGGTGAGCCTAGATCACACCACTGCACTCCAGCCTGGGTGACAGAGTGAGACCCTGTCTCAAAATAAAAAAAAAAAAAAACCTTTTCTGTTTAAGTGCATTTATTAAAATGTGTTTTACTATTTGAAATAATTTCAAAAATGATAAATTACATCCGTTCAATCGTTCACCAGTAATTGATGACATTGAATCACTGGGCAAGATTACACAGTCTCCTACTTACAACATTGTCCTTCAATAGTTTCCAGCAGGAAAATCTGACACCCTTACCATCGTGTTTCCCTCAATAACACTGGCAAAGCTGAAGATTGTCCATGTAGTATATCATACTGAGAGATGTGATACTCATAAGTCGTGAAATTATGCTTTAAATGATCAAGTTAGCTATACCTGAATAATGACAATTACTCATCGGGATGTCTTCAGAAATTTTTCAATAGAATTTTTAAGGGTAGAATATAAAACAGGCATCATTTGTTCTCATTAAATATAGATTTTTTCCCAATGTTATTTTACAGATTTATTTTTATTTTATTCATATATGCCTTGTATTAAAAGGTAGAAAAACTGTTGTCTTACAGTGAATCTCCTTATTACTAGTGACATAAAAACAATATGATTGTTTTGAGTGATGCCAGAAACCTGAATAGCTTTAAGATGATATCAAAAGATTCTAAAGGGCATTCTTTAATTTCAAAAAAAAAATAAAGGTGTAAGAAGTCCTTGGGGAACTGAAAGGAGCTGCTTAATTAAACGATAACATCATAGAAAAGAACGTTGTCAGGGGTTAAGATTCTCACGAGAGATATACCAGATAAAGCAGGATAATTATCAGAATGATTTTTGGTAGAAACTTGAAATGTTTACTGTACTTGTTCTTGGCTAACTCCTTTAATTCTTTAAATAGAACACTGATTTTTTAAAACTATCATTTCTAGTCTCCCTTTTTGATAGCTAGATAGCTACAGTAAACACTGAAATACTGAATTGTTCCATTGAACTAATATTTCTTCCTGAACATGCTGGAAATTTGATTTTCTATTTAGTCATCAGCATTTTAAAAATAATTCTTATCTTCTTAGTGATGTAACAAAAAAAGAAAATCCTGATACCTGCTGCTCAGTTCATTTGTAGAATGCTCTTCTCTCCATTCGAAGTGTATGGAGCTGAGATACTGTGAAGCCCCACTCATTTTAATCTTAATGAGAGTTTCCTAGAATTCAGCAGGTTCAAGCTAGTGGCCTCTCAAATCACCCTAGTGCAACTATGGGAAAGGCAGGCACACTTTTTTTTTTTTTTTTACCATTTCTTTTTTTTAAATTTATTCTTATTTATTTTTTTATTATACTTTAAGTTCTGGGGTACATGTGCAGAGCGTGCAGGACTGTTACATAGATATACACATGCATGGTGGTTTGCTGCATCCATCCCCACCATCTCCTACATTAGGTGTTTCTCCTAATGTTATCCCTCCCCAATCCCCCCCACCCCCTATCCCTCCCCCAGCTCCCACCCCCACTGAGAGGCCCCAGTATGTGACATTCCCCTCCCTGTGTCCATGTGTTCTCATTGTTCAACACCCATTTATGAGTGAGAACATGCCGTGTTTGGGTTTCTGTTCTTGTGGCAGTTTGCTGAAAATGATGGTTTCCAGCTTCATCCATGTCCTTGCAAGGGACATGAACTCATCCTTTTTTATGGCTGCATAGTATTCCATGGTGTCTATGTGCCACATTTTCTTTATCCAGTCTATCATTGATGGGGATTTGGGTTGGTTCCAAGTCTTTGCAATTGTAAACAGGAGGCACACTCTTTAAGTAAAATGATGCAATTCTGCACAGCAAACAACAAAAAGGAGGAAGCAACACATCGGTCTCATGGAAGGAACAGGGTCTTAGGGTCAGGGCCCCATCTGACAACTTATTAAATGTGTGACCTTGGATGTGTCATTAAACTTGTCCAAATCTCAGTTTTCTTATCTCATACTTTAAGGAATTGCTGTGAGGATTAAATAAAGTAACTCTATCCAAAGAGCTTAATGCTATGCCTATATGCAATAGACAGTAAAAACCCAAAGTTAGTTCTTTTTTTTTTTTTTTTTTTTTGAGTTGGAGTTTTGCTCTTGTTACCCAGGCTGGGGTGCAATGGCACGATCTTGGCTCATGGCAACCTCCGCTTCCTGGGTTCAGGCAATTCTCCTGCCTCAGCCTCCTGAGTAGCTGGGATTACAGGCACGTGCCACCATGCCCAGCTAATTTTTTGTATTTTTAGTAGAGACGGGGTTTCACCATGTTGGCCAGGATGGTCTCGATCTCTTGACCTCGTGATCCACCTGCCTCGACCTCCCAAAGTGCTGGGATTACAGGTGTGAGCCACCGGCCCAGTTAGTTCTTATATTTCTCACTGTATCCCCCTTTAATGCAGCCAGGAGACCCTGCCCTGTGGAGTGCCACTTTTGTGAGTTCCATGTTCCCACTTAGACTCCTATTAAGGTCGTGTGTCAGCATGGCTGAGAGAGTAACTGCCATCCACAAAGTCAACTCAACTGCTGACTCTGCAGCAGCATGTCCTTATCAGCTCAATGCAACAAGCATTGATTAAATGCTTCCTTCATGCATAGCACTCTTCTTTAAAGCTGTGATAATATCCTTGGAAATTTGAAGAAAAGGAGCAAGAGAAAATGGTCACTACCTTTGAATAGACATACATTTGGAGGTGGAGGTGTGGAACTATGTACTTTCCTTTTGGTAGAGATCATGAGAATTGTGCTGGTGTGTGGGTATAGAAAACCTATGTCTAAATTACTCATTTCTACCTAGGATCTTACTCAGAGCTGTATCATAAGGTAGTCCCAGAAAGTTCCACTGCTGTGATACATTGCTGCTACTCTTCATGAATGAGAGTGGGTCCCTGCAGCAGTAGAGAAAAGACCTCCTGGCAGGTTCTCCTGTCTGGAGTCTTCTTCTACAAGTCAGTCCCTAGACACAGTCTCCACTAACCCCTTTCTCATGGACACAAGCTTCTTTTCTTTTATGTTTAGGTTGTGAGCATGACAAAGCAAGTTAATGGAACAAACAGGCAGTATCTAAAGATAATAAAGTAGATATGCCAAGATAGTGGCTTGACTAAAGCCATTGCTCTGCATTTTTAGATAAGTTTCTGTAAAGATATATACATGCATTCTTAAATAAATTAGCATCACAAAAGTACAAAATACAAATAGTTTATATTTTTGAAAACAATTTTTCAAGTCGACAATCTGTACTCAGATTGCCTTGAAGTCTCCTACATGACACCTACATAAAAACTCTTCTTGTGATTTCCTGTCAATATCTAATTCCCCTTACATTGGTGTGGGAGTACTCTTTGAATAAATTTTATAAAGTATAAGTCAATGATCCTCTGTTCTTGCTTTGTGGCTCTGTTCCCTCTACATCCTGGGCTTCTAGTTACAGGTACTGTCTTCTCTTTCTGCACAGCCTGTCCTCACCACATCTGACCAAGGTGTGAAATGTTACTCAGCATCAGCATGCCACAGACAGCTGATCTTACTTCATTTACTATAATTTAATGAAACATGTGTCATGCGTAAGGGTGAACTCACTGTTTCGTGTGCACATCTTGATCTATTGGTGACCAGTATTCTGCTTCTGCTAACCGCATCAAACTTTTGAATCAAGCTGGGAGACTGAGGCTTGAGGAGACTAAGACAATCCTGATACCCATACAAAGGACAAGGGGTCAATGTGACCAGGTAGAAGGAAACCCAGTCCACAGGGTCCATGACATACTGAGAAGGTCTAACCTACCTCAGAAGTAGCCTGATTACTCTGCTTTCTGGCATGGCATAACCTGACTTTACTGACTCCCATGAAGGACTTGCTGTAGGGGGTGAAAATATCCTGATTATCCCTGCAGACTGACTTGGTGGGAAGAAATGATAGCTTGCTTGTTGCCTGGACAGCATTAACAGCAGCAAGGATGTGTAAGTACAGGAGCAAGGGCTGACACTATTCCCTTGTCACAGGTACAACATACTCATCTTCAACATGCAATCCTGTGACATTTTGAAGAGAGTATTTATACCCACCATTAGTCTTCTTTTTTGCATCTTCAAGTTCCCTGTTCCTCAAAGCAAGTTCTGAGGTTGAACTTTTCTATGGTTAAAATCCAGGCCCTGCGACTTGCTAGCCATGTGACCTAATTCTCTCTAAGGCTCAGTTTCTACATTTGTGAAATAGAAATAATAACATTTCCTTTCTTGCAGGACTATATTAAATTGCATATATGAACCATTTAGAGTAACTGATGTGCAGTAAGTACACAGTAAATATCAGCTATCACTGTCATCATCATCATCAACAGCAGCCTTATAATGTAAAGACCCTAACATTTTCTGAAGACCCCAGAGACTCCAGAGACCAGAGACCTGAGATGCAGATAAGGCTTATCGAACATGGCCAAACCGCCCAGGAGAACTCACACCTGCATTAATGCCATTCTACTTCATGTGGGGGTTGTGGTTATTTTTAACCATACTTAGGGGAACGCAAATCCACAACCATTTTGAGACTATTGAGTACAATTATTTTGCAGTGCCCATATTTCATGAGTGCTTTTGTACTCATTGATTTAGAGTTGCAATCATTTTCCAAACACATCCAACAAAATGGCATCAAAAGCACAAAGAAGAGAATACGCGAACCTCCCAGTTTACAAAATTTTACTTGTTTATTTTACTGAAGATGACTTGTTATAAACTACTACTTTTAATATTGTCCAGCATGGATTGCCTTATCCTATTTTATTTCTATGAAATTCTAAAGTTAGCCTTTAACTGAATAGACAAGATTTTGCTGGACAGCAGGAGTTATGTCCTTCCAATCTAGGAATCAAAGCAAGGAATGGTAGTGAGATAGGAAAGAAGGAATCAGGCATCAGACACAGTGGCATCAGACACAGACACAGTGCCTAGAGGAACCAGGCATCAGACAAAACCAGGCTTCAGAGTGGCTGCTGTGATCCCTGACTTTTGATTTTCACACCCTCCTGTGACCCTTTTCTCTTGTGTGTGAGCAGGAACTGTGACTAGTTTTTACTCAGTACGATACAGCCAGGGGGAAGGGCTGTCACTCCTATAATTACATTTCATTTGCTGGTTAATGCAGCTAGTAGCCATGTTGGGGTGGCCTACTTGGTGAAGAACTGAGAGTGGCCTCTTGCAACTAAGGATCCTCCAGCTGACAGCAGGTAAGAAACCAAGTCCCTCAGTCCGACTGAACTGAATGAATTCTGCTGACAATGACATGAGCTCGGAAATGGCTCCTTCCCCAGTTGGGCCTTCAGATGAGAATGTAGTCCTGGCCAACACCTTTGCAGCTTTGTGAGACACTGAAGCAGAGGACACAGCTAAGCCTGTTAGTTGATAAATATGTGTTGTTTTAAGCCACTAAGTTTGAGGCCACATTGCCGTGCAGCACTGGAAAACTAATACACACACCTATTACTGTCAGTCACTGCTTGTTACTTTAACATATATGTCTCTGCAGTACTCCCAATAATTCTGTGAAGGTTTTATCCACATTTTATAGAGAATGTTGCTGTTTAGGATGTTAAAACTTGCCCAGGGCTGCATAGCTACTTTGGGGTAGGGCTGAAGTTCATAGAGAGAAAGAGAGTTTTGTGGTTTGTCTCATTTTGGTAAACTGTGTTAAGTTGGACAAATTATGTCTCTTCCTTATTTTTTAGAAGTACAATGGAGAAGATGCTAAATATCTGCTTCATTTTTTCATTACATTGGAACTAAGAGAACTAATGAGGCCATGCCTTTAAGAAACTCCTGGCTTCCTGGAGAAAGGCTTGTTAATGCAGTTAATATTTGAAATAATTTTGAAGATTTAAATTATAAAGTGAATTACTGAGGAGGCACTTGCTTTCTTAGTGCAATTCTTTCTTCTTTGTAACTAAAAGACAGTAATTTTAAAAGTATATAATTTATATCTCTAGTAATATTATGCAGAAATATGCAGCATTTCAACTATCATTTCGAGAAATTGACCTTAAACCTAAATGAGTCCCTCTCTGGGATTTGCAATTTTTAAAAATATCATTATTTACTATATTGGTTCTGGAAAATCTGCAAAGACACTATTATAAGACCAACAGGTTTGTGTGCCTGCTGCACTGTAACAGATCAATTATACTGAGACAGCAGGGTTTGCAGCAGAGAAAGACTTTAAAGATTGCAGGACACTGAGCAAAGAGATGGGAGGAGGCTCTCAAATTCATTTCCTCGAGGAGTTCTGGGCTGGTGTTTTAAAGAGGAACATAGTTGGGGGGGAGTGCCTTAAAAATTGGGGTCATTGATTGGTGGGAGTAAGAGGGACGAAATCATCAGGATGTGGAAACTACATTCCTTCATGAGCCCATTCCTGGTGGGGTCCTTTAAACCACCTGATGTCA